GTAGGACATGTATCCACACAACCTAGTCCCCTCTACAGGGTAGGACGTGTATCTGCACACAACCTAGTCCCCTCTACAGAGTAGGACGTGTATCTGCACACAACCTAGTGCCTTCTACAGCGTAGGACGTGTATCTGCATACAACCTAGTCCAGGGGTCCTCAAACTTTTTAAACAGGGGGCCAGTTCACTGTCCCTCAGACTGTTGGAGGGCTGGACTGTGGGCCCCGGGACAAGTTGGCTGTTAAGCAGGACAGGCAGCGGCGGCGGGCCTGATAAATGTCCTAGGCAGATTGCATGTGGCCTGCGGGCCACAGTTTGAGGACGCCTGACCTAATCCCTTCTACAGAGTAGGACATGTATCTGCACACAACCTATCAATGTCCTTCTCCATATTTAAATCTTAAGTTACCTCTCAATTACTTATAATACTTAATACAATGTAGATGTTATGTAAATGGTTGTTGTACCCTATTATTTAGGGAATAATGACAAAAGTTCAGTACAGATAACATAATCCATTTCCTCCCAGTATCTCCATCTGTGCTTGGTTGAATTCAGAAATACAGAACCCATGGAGACAAAGGGTCGACTACATCTGAAACTTAGAATTGTGTGCCTCTGTGCCCCAGTGAGATGTCCAGACCAAGGGCAAAGTTCAGGAGGGAGAAACTTTATAAGGATCAAAGAGGACAAATGCCAGAGTAAGAAGCACTTGGTCACCAGGGATGAAAACCAAAAGATATTCCAAAGAATTTTTTTTGAGACAGAGTCTTACTTTGTCACCCTTGGTAGAATGCCGTGGTGTCATAGCTCACAGCAACCTCAAGTTCTTGGGCTCAAGAGATTCTCTTGCCTAAGCCTCTTGAGTAGTTGGGACTACAGGTGCCAGACATAATGTCCAGCTGTTTTTCAGAGGGAGGGACATGCTCTTGCTTGGGCTGGTCTCAAACCTGTGAGCTGAGGTGATCTGCCCACCCTGGCCTCCCTGAGTGCTGGAATTACAAGTATGAGCCACCGTGCCTATCCCAAAGGATTCTGTTTTTAAAGAACTATGCCAGTGGTTAAAAGTAAACCATTGTTGAGTTGTAGACTCTAAGGGATTTACATGTGGTAACATATCTAAAACAGTAGACAATGGGATTTTTATTTATAATAAAGCAAGGTGTTTTCCCAATGTGATCTTAATGTCTGAATTAATCTATCTTTCCTTCTGATATAACTCATTATCCTTCTGATAATAGGACTACAGCTAACAACCAACTCCAGTATACGATTAGGCAGCTATTCTAAAATTTAGTATCTGCTACTTACAGCTTTTAATCTGGTTAAGTGCTTCTTAAAACTAAAATAATTGCAATATATTGCTCCCTCATTGTTAATATGCTATAGAAATAATATCAATAAAATATCTTAAATGTATTATGAATATGATAATATTTTAAACCTATTTACTGGAATAGCTAAGCTCATTAAAGGTATAAACTTTCAGTGCAGACAAGGTAATGTAAACAACCCAAGACAATTTGTTGGCAAAGGAAAGAGTAGATTGATTTCATATTCTTGAAACTTATGACTTGACAGCGGGCATGATGTGATGTTAGGTATTATTTGCCTTTACATAGAGAGTTCCAAGTTAAAGGAATACGAATTAAATACAGCAAGACCATACACTGCAAGAAAATAATTTTTAGCTATTTTTCTTGCAACCAGCAACACAATAAAATTTTAGAACAGTCCACATCCTCAAACAGATCTCACTCTCACCTCACAACCACTGACCTGCTGTCTCTATAAACTACCTCATAGAGATGGTCACATAAAAATTGCATTCAAGGCTTGGCGCCAGTAGCTCAGAGGCCAGGGCACCAGCCACATACACTGGAGCTAGTGGGTTCAAACCCAGCCCAGGCCTGCAAACAACAATGATAACTACAACAAAAAAATAGCTGGGCATTGTGGTGGGCACCTGTAGTCCCAGCTACTTGGGAGGCTGAGGCAAGAGAACTGCTTAAGCCCAATAGTTGGAGGTTGCTGTGACACCACAGCACTCTACCAAGGGTGTCATAGTGAGACTCTGTCTCCAAAAAAAAGAAAGGCGGGGCCTGTGGCTCAGTGGGTAGGGCGCTGGCCCCACATACTGAGGGTGGCAGGGCAGGGTCATACCCGGCCCCGGCCAAAATGCAACAAAAAATAGCCGGGCATTGTGGCGGACGCCTGTAGTATCAGCTACTTGGGAGGCTGAGGCAAGAGAATCGCCTAAGCCCAAGAGCTGGAGGTTGCTGTGAGCTGTGATGCCACAGCATTCTACCAAGGGTGACAAAGTGAGACTCTTAAAAAAAAAAAAAAAAGTAGAAAGATTTAAATTTATCAAAAAGCATCCAATTTGATGAGGTCAAAGTTTTTAGGATTTTCTTTTATTATTAATGGAGGGGCGTGTTAGAACTATTTTTATTATTTATTTATTTTTGAGACAAGAGTCTCACTTTGTCACCATTACAGCTCACAGTAATCTCAAACTCTTGGGCTCATACAATAGTTACCTGAGCCTCCTAAGTAGCTGGGACTACAGGCACCTACCACAACGCCTGGCTATTGTGTTTAGAGATGAGGTCTCACTCTAGCTCAGGCTGGTCTCGAACCTGGGAGCTCAAGCTCAGGCAATCTACCCGCCTTGGCCTTCCAGAGTGCTGGGATTATAGGTATGACCCATAGCATCCAGCAAACTATTTTTAAAAACAAAAGACTAGAAGCAGCCAAATGTCTAGCAATGGAGATTTAAGATGCCATACTGTGGACAGGTAACGCCAAATGCAGAAGAGTGCACAGGTGTGTGGGGACTGTGCTGCGCTTCCTGCAGATAGCAGCACTGAGGACAGCGGCTACTGACACTGGGGAGGGGAAGGAGGGTGGGACAGAGGGGACTGGGAACCTCATTACACATTCTTTTTTTTTTTTTTTTGAGACAGAGCCTCAAGCTATCCCCCTGGGTAGAGTACTGTAGCATTACAGCTCACAGCAACCTCCAGCTCCTGGGCTCAAGCGAGTCTCCTGCCTCTGCCTCCCAAGTAACTGGGACCACAGGCGCCCGCCACAATACCCGGCCATTTTTTGGTTGCAGGCGTCATTGCTGTTTGGTGGGCCCAGGCTGGATTCAAACCCGCCACCTTAGGTGTATATGGCTGGCGCCTTAGCCACTTGAGCCACAGGTGCCGATCCTCATTACACATTCTGGGTTTGGAGGCATGTAAATCCCCTCTCTACAGAAAATCACTTTGGAAATATGGTCATCTGTAGCATTTTCACGAAAAATAACTACCAGTGTTAACATACCTGAATAGTTTGTGAAGGACTTGAGGTCCTCCAGACTTATGGGAACTTGGGCACCAGAAATTAATACCTGAAAATAAAAAGTTCAAATCATAAAATTTGACAGGGCTTTTAAGCACTCATTTTCATTTCTTATGATACCTGTGTCTCCCTGAGTTAGTAGGTAAGGTACCTGAATCTCCTGCTGATCGAACATGCGGAGCCACTCGAGGTTGACAACGTTGGCCAGGCCCTGCCTGAAGGCCAGGCAGTGCGGGCGGATCTGCTTGTTCAGTCTGTAGTCAGCCACCAGGTGGATGTACGCAATCCGGTTGGCACTGGTGACAGGGATGTCTTTCCCACCAAATTTTAGTTCAACCACCTGTGAGTACAAGGCACAAAGACCTCAAAACCTCAAAGGATGACAAAAGGGCAAAAGAAATGTTAAAAACAAAATGACATTGCTTTGTCAACAGAATCTAAACACGAAACAGTCCAACTAGCATTCGCATCATTCCACACAGATTCCAAGACGCACTGCTGAGAGGGTTCCCCAGAGCTTGGCAACCTCCTCTGTCCCTGCTTTTCCCGACGTACTAAGGAATGTAATCACGGCAATTTTTTTTTTTTTTGAGACAAAGTTTTACTTTGTCACCCTCGGTAGAGTGCCGTGATATCCCAGCTCACAGCAACCTCAAACTCTTGGGCTCAAGTGATTCTCTTGCCTCAGCTTCCTGAGTAGCTGGGACTACAGGCTCCCATCACAATATTTGGCTATTTTTTGTTGCAGTTGTCATTGTTGGTTAGCAGGCCTGGGCCGGGTCTGAATCCACCAACTTTGGTGTATGTGGCTGGCACCATAACCACTGTGCCACAGGTGCCAAGCTGGCAATTTCATTTTACAAACATAAGAAATCAGAAAGGTAAAGATATGAACCAGACAATCAACATAAGTTGGGAGTGTTGCAGTAAAACGATCACTCATGTTTGTAAACATTAGCAGCATATGCTTCATTATTTCCATATTACTATTGCAAAGGATTTCAACTATGATTTATAACCAGAGATAAGGGATTGGCCCATCCCTTATATATACAAACAGAGTCAATATGAACAATTTTGACTCTAGCCACACCCACATGATGTGCAGTCTAGTTGAGATGTCCTCCTGTAAGCAGCACCAGGGTGCTGGGGAGACGAGTGCCGCAGCAGGAGCCTGGAGACCTGGCCTCCATTCCTCTCTCACTTGTCACTCTGCCCCTCAGACTTCTTTCCTCACTAATCAAGTGGTGGTATCCACTTTGACCATCTTGGAATTGTTTTGATTATGTGACCTCATATACAAAGTTGACTGACAGGGGCAGCGCCTGTAGCTCAAAGGGGTAGGGCACCGGCCCCATATGCCAGAGTGGCGGGTTTAAACCCAGCCCTGGCCAACTGCAAAGTTGACTGACAAAATATGATAACTTATAAGCACATGATAATAATCTGAAAGATAGGATACTTTTAAAATTCCCTGTTTAGGCTGGGCGCAGTGGCTCATGCTTATAATCCTAGCATGCCTGTAATCCTGAAAGGCCAATGCAGGCAGATTATCTGAGCTCAGGAATTCAAGACCAGCCAAGACCCTGTCTCTAAAATATAGCCAGGTGTTGTAGCAGGCACCTGTAGTCCCAGATACTCTGGAATCTGAGGCAAGAGAATCACTTGAGCCCAAGAGTTTGAGGTTGCTGTGAGCTGTGATGTCATGGCACTCTACCCAGGATGACAGCCTGAGACTCTGTCACAAAAGAAAAAAAAAAAAGAAAAGAAATTGCTTGGTGGCACTGTAGTTCACTGGGTAGGCTGGCAACATACACAGAGGCTGGGGGGTTCAAACCCAGCCTGGGGCAACTAAAACAATGACAGCTGCAACAACAACAAAAAATAGCTGGGCGTTGTGGGTGCCTGTAGTCCCAGTTACTTTGGGAAGCTGAGGCAAGACAATCGCTTAAGGCCAAGAGTTTGAGGTTGCTGTGAGCTGTGATGCCATGGCACTCTACAGAGGGCAATAAAGTGAGACTCTGTCTCGAAAAAAAAAAATTCCCTGTTTACTGGTATTTAAGAAAAATACAACTGCATTCCTGAGAATCGGTGAGGATAGTTTATGCCATTTATGAAGACAATATAGGCCCAAATAAATGAGGACATTCAGAGTGACTATATTCGTAAGGAAAGCCACTACTGCTGGGGATGGAGAGACAGGAGAGAATGAGCTGCTACGTAGAGAGCAAACATATGGGGGTAAAAACAGAGATGATGGTTATGGGAAAAGTACCAATGATGGACATGTCCTCAAAGCTTCTAGCTCTCTGGGTAGCTCTGATATTACTAGAGTAACAGAGATAATTCCTCTACCTCTGAACAATGGCCATTATGCCCACAATATTTTACCACTTTACAGAAAGGCTATTTCAAAACCTGCTAAAGAGCTCTACTTAAGTCATCCTGTATCAGATGGTTTGCTGGTTCTCATTTTATATAGCTTTAAACTTGAATGTTAAATTTGTCAGATTTGCTTTTTTTAATAGTTCACATTTTAAATGAGGATTCAATTATTCTTACTAATTCACTTTCTTAGTTTTGGAACCATCAAGTCGAAGAATGGGCTTTCAAGTCCATTGTCCCTACTCTGATTAAAGGCTCTGTTCATTACCTTAATTCCTCTGCCTGTACCAGCTGACAGTCCATCTGTTAACCAGGCCTCGGGAGGCGAGCTATTATATTTCAATATATAAAACACCACCGCCTTCTGTTAAATGGATTAAAGGTAGGTAATAATAAATGATGATGCACTTGTAAGACTTAGGAGACAAAGGACCAGGAAGTTATCAGTTAAGGAACTTCCAAGCCTCCCAATTACCCTGCCTAATCAGACAAAACCGATGTTTCCAATAACTTTAAAATGGTTACACTGCTTTTAATTAAAAAACCTCTAGGTTAAACCTAAAAATGTGTGTATATTTCAAAAGAATGTCAAGTATGTGCTGAAAGTTCCTGCTGGAGGGGCACATTTAAATCCCCTTCGCATTTAAACAGAGAGCTAGGGCCTGTCTCGAGTCCAGACCTGCCCTGCCTCTCAGAGGTGTCCCATGGCACTGGACTCTACAAGGCCAGGCACGGTGCACTTTCTACCACCTGCTTAGCTCATCTGCTCCTCTGGCAACTTACACCCCTTTTCTGAGTCGAGGAAAGGGTCCTAGGAATTGCCCAAGGCACACAGCAAAGCAGCTCAAACAGGACCTGAACCAAAGTCTCCCAGCTCAAGTCCACTTGTTTCCACATAACAGATGAATTTTGGGTTCTTCTTAAATCCTTAGCATTTTCCTGAAGAAAGATGTCTATGTAAATTAGTATCTAAAATAAAATTTCATGTTCATTATTAAACTAATAAATAGCCACACTGATTTTAATGAAGAAAACAAATTCAAGAGCAGCATCATTATTTTAAGTGGAAGAGTAATGAATACATCCTGCCAACATAATCAAGTATTTCCATATTACAAGTCTTTTTTTTTTTGGCAGTTTTTTTGGCCGGGGCTGGGTTTGAACCCAACACCCTCATCATATGGGGTGAGCACCCTACTCCTTGAGCCACAGGCACCGCCCCCATATTACAGATCTTTAAATCATGGTATTTTAGAAGCTTAAACCTATATAGAACCTATATAGAAGACTACCTTTTTTTTTTTTTTTTGCAGTTTTTTGGCCCGGCCTGGGTTTGAACCCGCCACCTCTGGCATATGAGGCCGGTGCCCTACTCCTTTGAGCCACAGGCGCTGCCAGAAGACTACCCTTTTATATGTACTTCTACAGGAATCCTTAAGATCATCCCCCAAATTAAGTGTTTTACCAGTGAATTTCATTTGTTGTTTCCTTTTCTTTTTAAAAATTATATATATATTTATTTATTTTTGAGACCTTTGTCTCACTACATCCCCCTTGGTAGAGTGCTGTTGTGTCACAGCTCACAGCAACCTCAAACTCTTGGGCTTAGTGATTCTCCTTCCTCAGCCTCCCAAGTAGGTGGGACTACAGGCACCTGCCACAACGCCCGGCTATTTTTTGTTACAGTTGTCACTGTTGTTTTAGCAGGTCTGGGATGGGTTAGAACCCACCAATTTCAGTGTATGTGGCTGGTGCCCTACCCACTGCCCTACTTTTTTCTGAGACAGAGTCTCAAGCCTTGGCCCTGGGTAGACTGCTGTGGTGTCATAGCTCATAGCAATCTCCAACTCAGGCCCAGGTGATCCTCTTGCCTCAGTTTTTTCAGTAGAGACAAGGGTCTGACTTTTGCTTAGGCTGGTTTCAAACTGGTAAGCTCAAGCTATCCACTGGCCTCGGCCTCCCAGAATGCTAGGATTACAGGCATGAGCCACTGTGCCCAGCCTTCTCCTTTTCTTATGAGACAGAGTCTCCATTCTGTTATTCAGGTTAGAGTGCTATGGTGTCTAACTAGGCACAGCAACCTCAAACTCCTGGGTTCAAGTGATCCTCCTGCCTCAGCCTCCTGTTAGTAAGTAGCTGGGACTACAGATGCCTGCAACAATGCCTGACTCGTTTTTCTATTTTCTTTTTCTGGCTGGGGCCAGGTTTGAACCTGCCACCTCTAGTATATGGGGCCGGTGCCCTACTCCTTTGAGTCACAGGTGCTGCCTTGCTTATCTATGTTTTATTTTTTTTGAGACAGAGTTTTACTATGTTGCTCGCCCTCGGTAGAGTGCCGTGGTGTCACAACTCACAGCAACCTCAAACTCTTGGGCTTAAGTGATTCTCTTGCCTCAGCCTGCCAAGTAGTTGGGACGATAGGTAGGCACCCACCAGCCTTGGTGTATGTGCCCAGTGCCCTACTCACTGACCTACAGGAGCTGAGCCTAGTTTTTCTATTTTCAGTAGAGACAGGGTCCCACTCTTGATCAGTCTGGTTTTGAACCCCTAAGCTCAAGCAATTCTCCTGCCTTAGCCTCTCAGAGTGCTAAGATTATAGCTATGAGCCACTGTACCTAGCCCTACCAGTGAATTTCTTCAGAAAATTAAGGAACTGTAGTATTATTATTGTTTTGAGATAGGGTCTCACTCCATCGCCCTGGCTCTTAATGTAGTGGTGTCATCACAGGTCACTGCTACCTCAAACGCCCTGGCTCAAGTAATCTGCCGCCTCCCTAGTAGCTGGGAATACAATAGGTATGCACTACCACACCTAACTAATTTTTCTGTTTTTCAGAGATGGGGTCTTGCTCTTGTTCAAGCTAGTTTCAAACTCTTGGCCTCAAGCAATCCTCCTGTCTTGGTCTCCCAGAGTGCTAGGACTACAGGCCTGAGCCACGTGGATGGCCTAGTATA